ATACGCTTTAAATCTCATCGAAGAAAGTTGGACTCCCAACAAAACCGAAAAGTTGATTTTCTGCGGCTTTTGAGTCCATCTTTGTGCGATGATGTCTGAAAAAATATTCTCAATATTCTCTTAAAAAATGAGAAAACTTGAGCGGTTACGAATTCCGAATAAATATACCAGCTAGCTGCTGCGTATCATCAATTTCTGGTTAATACATAAATCCTTGCATTTTGACCCCTTGGCCGATTATAATATTACTATCCAATAATTAGTGAATGGGATCAATATTTCAACGCATAGAGTTCATGCTTCAAACCCTAAGGATTCAAACTCCCAGTTTATTGCGCGAGAATTAAAGCGATTTCATTACGTTGATTACACAAACCGTAAGACTTCTTTTCATAATCATCTAGTCATCATTCACTGATCTTTAAAAAAATAATTTATAATTATAAAGCAAAGATTGCTATCGAAATGTTTGAAATATTTGTGAGCATTTTCCATTATAGCAACATAATTTCGGCCGGTAGTGTACGGTTCATCCAGATATAATCCAGCTCACTGAACTGTTGCAAACTTGTTAAATAGTACGTTACAATAATGTAGCTATTTTTCAAGACATTATGAAAAGTTTACAACAAGTATTTTTTACGTTGCAGATGAGTGGATATTAAAATTAATGATTCATATTGAACTGCAAAACAACACCGCAACGATTTGTCAACATAACTGCACCATTACGTATTATCGATGGTATCCATGTTCCAGTTATGTTGAAAATAAGTAGCAAATGCGTAGTTTGAACAATCATAGAATTTGTTGAGTATGTGCGTGTTTTAAACGTCACTTGTCAGTAGCAATGTGACATCGAGCGGTAGCGGCATCGGTGCAGCTCCTCCGCCAGCAGCCATCAGGTTTCAGCATTATGAGCCACTACTTCTGGCAATCCACCCGCTATTTGGTGCCGTTTCCTGTTCGCCAGCAGTTCCGACAAATACGAGCTCCGTCTCTAACGGATCCTCAACGGCCACATCTCCGTTCGGCGGTATCAACATATTTGTTTGCCCCAGCTCACGCAACAACCAATCCATCGTCACCTCAGGCTTCTCACTGTTCTATTTAGCCCTTTGGAACACTCGGTCGGTTGAGAGACTACGGCCACGCCAGCCACTGTTGGCATCGCCTTAAGTCATCATCGTCCCCTGCCATCCGTAATCCTATCATCCTCGTCGTGGTCTTCCATTTCCTATGCAGATGTTAGCACATGCATTACGATTTCTCCGCTTTTGCCAATGCCTTCCAAAAATATTTTACAACATCAAAGTGACAAGACATATTTGAGCCATGGTAGACACTAAATGGTTACAACAAACCTTTACAGTGACTACTTGATTCAGTTGGTTGCAAAACGAAGTTTCATACGCTTAATTGGAACAAGATTGCAAATACATTTTTCAACACATCTTGGTTCGTCAACTTTTTAGTAACATTTCGGAAAAATTGCTCAATAGGTACAAAAAACATATAGTTCACACTCTGCTGCACCAAAGTTTTATGAAACATAATGTTTTATGTAACTCTCATTCAACAAACACAACACAAGTTAGATTTGTTGCTCAAGTGTTTCATACAATATCACGTAGCAAATAACTTCATACCAATTTGAGTGTAACATGTTTGCTCCTCCCAATTGAGGCATGATTTGACAGGTCATCAGAGCAGTACATTGAAACAGTTGAGTTTCATTATTGTGATCTAAAGTAAATGAAGCAACAAAGTTGAAACTTTGTCGTATCAAGATGTATTTCCTGTACCATTTAAGGGATTTCAGGGCAACTTAAATAAAAAATAAAAGAATTGAGATGTTTTCTGTGTTGCTTGGGAGTCGATCTTCGTCCCTCGTACATTTTGATAATAAATGCGCAAATTCGAAGCGGTTCCAGTAGCATTTAGTCCGTTCTCACCATTCTCAACAAAAGGGCCAGAACGACTTCGACGGCAGGAACCAGCAAGCACGACTGGGTTGAGAGGTTCAGGGACTTCCTTGAGGTGGCAGGCATTGCGTTTTGGTTTGGCAGATTCAGAATAGTCACATACTGGAGGCGTAATGCTGCAACGTTGACACGGATCAGGCGAAGAATTTGTTTGAAAACATGTATAGTTGCCTGAGGTAGAAGGTTGGAAGTTGGAGTTTCGGTTCGCGAGAAAATGGCCTTACAAGGTTTGTTTACAAAATGGAGTTGAGGCCATTTCAATTGTTGGTCTTGAACTAACAGCCCTCCCCGATAGTGTTCTTGATTTGAGAGGGCGTATTTCGCTTCTCGTGAAAGGGTTGTAAGGGTTGTTTGATAACAAAAGATGTAAGACCCTTTTCAAATGTTACGCGAGAATGTATGTTTTACCAAATTTCGAACCGATGGCGTTGGGGGTTCTCGTCGCTTCTTTCGTTGCCACGCTCAACTTTGCCGTAGCGTTCCGTTGTTGAAGCTATCGTTCAGCGATACGCTGTTATCCATTTCGTCATCATCAAAGGGGCTTGAGCTTTTGAGACTAGATTGAGACACTCTGCTGATACTGGAAAGAAACAAAAGGAGATCAGATCACTGCAACAAGTGATTATTATATATTCAATTGGAATTTTTTTAATTTAAACTATGGAACTTGCAATCTGCCGTACATACCGATAATGTATGTGGTCATATTGTAGACATAGATAATATGTATAGTTTACTGGGGACTCGAACTCTATAAACTAGAACCCCCATTCCTCTAACATAGACAGTCGTCCAACAGTTTTACACACACTTAGCTGCATTTTCAGTAATTTTGGAACAGCGGAACTGTTGCTTAAAAATATGTGAAAAATTCAAAACTTAGTTTATTGATTCCTAACTTCTACAGGCTTTGTTCTGTTAACTATATTAGCCTTAAGGTTAAACGACATTTTTTACGTATAAAAGTAATTTGAAAGTTTTATCGATTTTTTTCAGTAGTTACAAAGTTAGTAAAAATTACTGACTCTTGTAAAATAATCTATGTGTACAGAACAGATCGCATGGTAAATTCACATAGCATAGTCTGTTTACAGAAGCACTATAAGAAAGGTAGCTTTTTTCCCTGCCGTCAACGGTTTATTCCGCTCTGCTACGGTTCCAAACCAAGCGAAAGTCACCCGACAAACCCGCGCAACGATGAGTCAACACTCTCCTTTCTTCGTATACTTCTGCACCATTTGTCAGCCTTCACCAATCATTAGCGCTTTCAAACGCCTCAAGTTTCCACCCCTCACTCTCTGAACAAAATGCACATCACCTTATCCTTAATCGCATTTCTCAGCGGGTTGTTCAACCCGTCGCCTATTCTTGCGGAAAAGGTGCCAACGCTCATTTGTGGCCTCCCGCATCTCCACCTCCTTCCAAACAATAGCATTCACTATCGCTGATCACAGAAACAAGCGAGGAAAAAACGGATCCCGACTTCAAATGAATAGGAAGCAACCCATCCGACAACATCATCGGTGTAAAGATTTATAAGCTGCGATGTGAAAAGCTCATTTGCTGCCGACAAAACATCAACCCACCCTCCATCATCTCAGTCGCTTAAGTCTCATTCCACCCCCCGCAGCACTGATGGGGCTGCTTTAACCATCTTCCCTTCCTCCTACGCCATCAGTCCTCATTGCAGGGGGTGGCTATGTCGATTGCTATAGGCTGCCCTCTTGCGCATTATTCCACGTGTATGGCGGATAGCGGAAACTAGGATCCCAGGGAACTTGGGATGGTATCGGGTGGTAAGAGATGTCAATTCCGAAGACCGTGAACGCAAAAGCTCAGCTGCACAAAGAGCCGAGAGATGAATAATGATGATAATGAATTTTATGACGCTACAACGACGATCACGGGAGCCGTCCGGGGAGGACTACTAACAGTGCTGACGAGGACGACGACGACGACGATGATGATGATGATGATGATGATGCAAATGATAATGAAATCGTTTGATAGCTGAGTGCAGCAGTTTTACCACCGGGGAAAAGTAGGTTGTCAGGTCTGGACTGGCCTGGTTGTTAGTTAGTGTGAAAGTTTTGATGCCTGATGGCCATTAGACATGCCGCATGGCTGTCACTAGTTTGAAAGTTATTCCGCAAAACGTCCTGTACAGGAAATTCCAGGACAACTGGAGGGCAAGGGAATTTGAATGAGTTTTATTTATCACCAAAGCAAAATCTGCTCTTATCTATCCGAGAAAAGATTGCGATGCACTTCTCCCAGGACGAAGAGATACACACAAAGAGTGGGTGTGTGTGTGTAGTGCTCTGTTGTGTTGATTGTGTTCTGCCAGGAAGTTTCATTACGAGATAAGCTCGTAGGAAAAGACATCTACGGCAAGTCTGAAATATTGTTATTAAATATTCAAATTCTGTTTTGATAAATGCACAGAATTTGCATCCAACTGGGAGCTACTGAATATTCCGTTACGATAAGAACGCAAAATTTTCCCTCTAGTAATGATTCCAAGTGCTCCCCCTCTCTAGCTCTAGCAGTTGTTTGCAATCCATCATGATGAAACTTATGCTTCATGAATAACGGATTGATAAATCACGGAGGAAGAGTTTGATTTCAGCATTGCCGTCTTTTAGTTTAAAAAAAAACAAGCCGAGAAAACCCGAATTAAGGATTTGCATGATATTTATACAGTGAGCCAACCTTCTTTAACTGTTAAATCACAGATATAATGATTTACTGACACACCGTTACTGATTTAAAAACATTTTCTGAACAAAGCTGTTAAATTCATTCAGTATCCCATGAAAATGAAACTTTTCTGTAGGTAGTACACATTTATGTTTAAGTAGTTAAAAATGAATCGTTATTATCGAAAGCATGCATGTTAAATACTGTGATGCATGACAATCAATAATGTTCCTGTAATTTCTCATGATATTTGTTGTATATTCTCCAGAAAACTTTGACACTAATCAAACGAAATTTCCTTCTTTCCTCTCTCAGGTATTGGCCACCGATCAGGACATAGGCGAAAACGGCCGGGTAACCTATTCCATCAAAGCCGGACGCGGGAAGGCGAAAAAATTCCGCATCGACCCGGACACTGGTATCATCTATGCGGCCAAAACGTTTGAAGTGGACTCCGAGTATGATTTGCTGGTCAGAGCTGAAGATAACGGTGTACTGAAAAAGTCCCAGCAGGCTCGCGTCAGCATCGCTGTCGTCGAGGTGCCAGGGAAATCGGAAAACCCCCCGGTGCTCAAAACCATCGACCAGCACGTTGAGGTGACAGAAAGTGACACCCCTGGCTTCCTGGTGGCACTAATCCAAGCCATCGACTACGATGGCGAACAACTGTGGTACGACATCGTTGGTAAGTGCTTTGCTTTCCATTATGAATCAATTATGAGGGGGTTGCTCCATAGCAGTAGGGTAAATTTTCACTAAACCGATACGAAGATTGGAAATCTCCAAGTTAGGGTCATTTTCAACTTGCAGATCATTCTCTATGGAACAACCCCATCTCCGTTTTCATTGTTGCCATCATCCACCGTCAGCACAAGAAAGCAGATCCGTGCTTAAGTTTATTCAACAGCCAGCATTCAATATTTATTCTAATTCCGACTTCTCGTTTTCTCATTCCTTTTCTGATCCTTATCACAATCGCTTACACAAACAAAAATCTCTCATTCGGACCGAATCCGAACCGAAAACCCTGCTGCCGGAAATGGATCTGATCTGAACCACCTATCGTGTCCGTGCCACGTGGTGAATAAATTGCAAAAACTCCAGGTGGGGACGAGCGGAATGAATTTTACATCGGACGAGACAATGGCAATGTTTTGCTGGCCAAATATTTGGACTGGGAAACTCAGAAGGAGTACAATCTAACGATAAGCATCTCCGACGGGGTGCACGTTATTTACACGCAACTGTACGTTTCGGTAATTGATATAAATGATCACCGACCGGAGTTTACGGAATCGCTGTACCGGGTGGACATCTCGGAGAGCATCGAGGAAGGCACCGAGGTGCTACAACTGCACGCAACCGATGCTGACGAGGATAAAAAGTTGTTTTACAGCTTACATGCGGCACGTGATCCGGTTTCACTTAAACTTTTCCGCGTCGACTCGGTTAGTGGGAGTATTATTATGGCACATAAATTGGACCGCGAGGCACTGGCGGAGCACGTGTTGATTGTGATTGTAAAAGATCAGGGAACCCCAGCCAAACGAAATTACGCGAAGGTTATTATTACGGTGCATGACCACAATGACCACGCTCCGGAGTTTACCAGCAAAATTGTACAAGGAAGGGTATATGAGACTGCTACCGTTGGAACCAAGGTCGTTCAGGTTTACGCAATCGACCGAGACATTGGAGACAACGCTAGAATTACCTATTCGATAGTGAGTGGAAACATTGGAAACGTTTTCAACATCGATTCCAACATGGGTGTCATAAGCGTTGTCAAAGACTTGGACATAAGTGCACTCTCCGAGTACATGCTGCAGGTTAAGGCCTCCGATAGTGGAAAACCGTCACTTTCATCTCAGATTCCGGTTCACGTGATGATTAACATGGCAGACAATGCTCCTCCGAGGTTCATATCCGTCGATCCAGCTGCTGAAATCTATGAGAACCAGCCTATCGGGACATTTGTCATCCATATAGAAGCACGGAGCACTTCTTCGTTGCAGTTTGAGATAATCGAAGGAAACGTCAACGATATGTTCTTCATCAATCCCTCAACCGGGGTCATCACCACCAAAGACATCCTGGACTACGAGAGCCACAAATTCTACAATCTAACAATCCGAGCAACGAACATGGCCTCCGCTTCGGCAACGTGCGCAGTGATCATCAACGTACTGGACAAGAACGACAACACGCCATACTTCGAGCAGGAAGTCTACAAAGGTGAAGTCTCGGAAGCGGCACCAGTCGGATCGCTAGTGCTGACGTTGAGTGACAATCCAACGAAAGCCAGTCAATCGCTGGTGAATGCATCACTACCGCTGGTAATTAAAGCTAAGGATGCGGATTCCGGACTTAACTCCTTGCTGCATTACGACATACTGGAGATGATGCCGCGGCGTTACTTCCACATCGACTCTAGCACTGGAGCCATCAAGACGATTATGCACCTGGATCACGAAAAGATTCCTTTCTTCAGTTTTCATGTTAAGGTGAGTTGAATATTACGATTGCATTTTTTTTTTAAATTGTGCTGTCGGATTATCAGACAATAAGGTGTTTCACCACCAGAGAAAGAGTTACCTTCGATCGTGGAAAATCAACTTAAGAGTGTACACAGTTAAAATTATTTTGTAATTTTACACGAATTTCCATGCACATATAAAGAGCATGCATATTCATGTAAAATTAAATTGATTTTTAAATTTAAACGACTTGAAATTTACATGCATGTAAAATGAAATGACACTTGAATTTTACATGGATGATTTTCGATGGGTTTACCTTTCGCTTTTTCAAGTACGTGGAGTTATCACCCACGCGGAATAACCCGCCTTCACGGCACAGTACATACCCTACACTTCCACCGCTGCATCAAAACGATCAGTCAGGAGAAAAAAGTAACCCTGAGCGTGTTTTTGAATGTTTTTCTATTTTTCCATAGGGTTATGGTTACACGTTCCTATTATGGTGTGTTCCAATTATGGCCTATGAGAATTCCATAGGCCATAATTGGAGCACACCATAATAGGAACGTCTGACCATAACTGGTACACTCACCCTACCCAATTTTTAGATTTTCTGCTCGAACTAAATGTGCTCTCTGTATAAAACCGATTTAATCAATATGTTGTCTGTCATGATTTTCTATTTGTGGACGTGCTTATGTACGATAAATCGTTCCACATAACGAAAACTGAGCGCACAAAACTTACAATACACTTTTTCCGACATTCTCCACTAATGAATTGACCTGGCGGAGAAAAACCTGATCGAATAATCGGTCCGTCCGCCATATTAGCTTTCTCAGTGTTATTTGATTTAAATTTACACGAGCATGTAAATGTATAGGTTTTATCGTTGAAAATCCGATGCTCTTCGATGAGTTTTTACATCACGTGGTGATATTAAACTGGAAGAGAAATTGAATTGATGTATTGGGCCAAATTAGGGGCATTTCACTGAGGTCCTGAGGCCGACATTACATCCATTTCCCCTAATTCTTTAAATTTCAATTTCCAACTTCTATTTAAACCAATATCACTAGGTACCACCAACTTTAGAAAATTGAAGGTTCATTTAAAAGATATTTTTTCTGGCTTTCTGCATTTTGGTCTGACTATATGGATTGCCTCAATTTTAGAGATGTAATTTGAAAGTAGCAGTGTTGGCAAAATCAGAAATCAATTGATATTTTTCCGCTCTCATGCGCTCGCAATATCACGCGTGATATTGGAAAAAAATATCATCCTTGATATTGATTTTACAAGCTCCTTTGATATTATAAGACTATTCACAACGTGCAAAAATCAAGCTGAGAGTTGACTCGACACAAAAATTATTCCATTGCACATCGTTTTCTTAGAAAGAGAAAGCATGGTTTGCTATCTCTTTTTAATCTTCACCGATGGCAGACGCGAAGAGACTGCTGCAACCCGTTATGGAAGTTTTGGTTGCATTCGGGTGTAAATCAAAAATCGTTAAACTCAATCTCACCACAGTTTAGTGAGATTTGCAGTTGGTGAGTTTTGTTAGCTTGATATTCCGAGCTGCGATATCACAGCTTGCAAAATCAACCGCAGTTGTTTGCTTGTCGATTTTTGTCTACGAAAATCAAGCGTGAGCTTGGGCGTTGGAGAGATTTGATTTTTTTATATTTTCCCGACACTGGAAAGTAGTACAAATAACATTTTAAATTATATATTGGCATATACAAAATCATATTAGAGGCAAGATAAAGTTATACATAGAGTTGTATAAAGTATCCTATTGAATCATATGAAATCATACAATGTAGGAGTATTTTTCCACTTGCTCCTATATGGCCTCCAGATTTTTACGTATAGTTGAATTCTATGCACCTTATACGATTTATTTTTACCAAATAAAGATTTACTTAGCAGCGTAGCAATTCAGTAATGTGAACAAAATTCTGGGGCTGGGGTATCCAGTCAACGTCAACGGATAGTAAGAGAGTTTACTCTGTCGGATTCCTCGAACATTTGCTCGAAGATTACATTATTTCTCTTCGACAAAAGCAAAAATAAATGGTGCTTCTTATTATCTTATTTAAGAAAACTGGATACTAAGGCTAAAAGATGGCCAATATTTTAGTCTTAATACTTGGAACCTGAAACTGAACCCTCTATTTTCCTCAAAGTACTGACTCATTTGTCGTGTTCCGGGTAATTTATTCGAATGTCATTTGGCCAAATACCGTTGGGCCGAATTGGTAACTCGGCCGAATTACATTTGGCCGAATGCTGATTTAATTAGAAGGGATTTATCATAAGCATATTTTGGCATGCTCAGTTTTACACACCAACTGCTCCTTTGTTAACAGCTTTTCACTCAGTTGTTGAAATAAGGTTTTCTTTAAAGTAATTGATAGTGTATAATCATAGTTTACAATAGACATACATAAATAAGAAAAAATACACTCTTCAATATTCTTATGACAAATGCTATCTTCTGTGAATTTTTCAAGTATGGCAATAAAAATTAACAAAAATCATTAAACAACAACTTTTGGGCCATTTTTTCTTAACTTTTTGTAAATTTTTTTTGGGAAATTGTGCACAGAAAACCATATTTTAGACTTTCAAAATCGTCTCTGATCACTTGGTATTACTATTACAGGTCGGAGTTGATTTTCTGTAACAGTAACTAGAAAACGACCAATCAATTACTCACCAGAAGACAATTCGTCACCAATTGGTAATGAATCATAATAATATAATAATAATGAGATTGTGACGCACTGAAAGCGAAATTGACAGGTTTTATGTGTCAAATACATACCTTCCAACCTCTTCTTGTTACTGACAAGTACAAACTTTCATAATAGCATCGAATGATTCCATAATTCCGAAAAACATTTTTTATAGCGAAGTGAGTGGAAGTAACCCTGATAATGATTAATGTCGGCCTAAATGCCCCTAATTTGGGCCCATACATAAATGCAGCAATCGATTAAATTTTCAATAGCAACCAAAAATATCCATAAGTACCGTCCCAATGACGCGTTCATCAAGATAAAATTGATAAATAGCAGATTTTTAGTGATGGGCCCAATCTTAGATCCATAGGCCCACATTAGGACCATTTCCCCTATATAATTTGATTTGATTGAGTTATTAACAATTAGTTACCGATAGTCGAGTTCAACCTGTATCACTATTTCGTATACATATTTGATAAAGTGAAAGTATTGAATTTAACACTAAGGTGATACTAGATGGCAGTTCCAGTAGGTAATAATTAACCAGGAAGCTAATCATACAATCCCTGTGGTACTTCATTCAAATGAGGGATTCATCATGGTTTTGAATTTTAATGTTTCCATAATCTGAAACGTCAATCAATTTCTAAAAAGCCAACCCAGAACTAATCATTTGTTTTGTATACAACCCTTTTCCAGGTAACTGATCTCGGCAAGCCTCGTCTCACGTCGGAAACTACCGCCGAGGTGCGCATCACGGTCAACGACGTCAACGATTGCGCTCCGGCCTTCACCCAGAAGGAGTACAACGTTACGCTTCTGCTTCCCACCTATGAAAACGTAGCCGTCATACAGGTCAACGCAACCGATCAGGACAGCTCGGAGAACTCCACTTTGCGGTACGATTTGATCGAAGGCAATCGCGATGGGGTGTTTATGATCGATGCTGCCACTGGAGTAATTACCACCAGGGATGTGGAGAGTATTGGATCGTTCTACAAGCTAGGAGTTCGCGTATCGGATGGAAAGTTTTCCAAAGTGGCTTACGTAAGCATTAGTGTTGAAACATCCGACAATTCCGGCTTGATCTTCCAAAAAACGATCTACGAAGGTTCAATACTGGAGAATAGTACAAAAATAACAACTGTTACGGTTGTAAATGTAATTGGATCGAACCTAAATGAGCACATTGAGTTCAATATCTTGAATCCAACTGATCTGTTCAAAATTGGTTTGACATCCGGGGCGATTCAGACGACTGGGAAAAAATTCGATCGAGAAGTGCGTGATAATTATGAACTGATTGTTGAAGCACGCTCGCATTTGCCGGATAGAGAGAAACCACGAGTGGCACATGTGATTGTGAATGTTACAATTTTGGATATCAACGACAATTGTCCAATGTTTGTGAATCTACCGTACTACGTGGTTGTATCAGTAGATGACCCACGCGGTTCAGTAATTACGAAAGTGCACGCTCTCGACTTGGACAGCTATGAGAACGGTGAAGTTCGTTATGAGATGAAACGAGGGCACGGTGAACTGTTCAAAGTAGATCGCAAGACCGGTGAAGTGACGCTGAAGCAGACTCTCGAGGGACACAACCGGGACTACGAACTGCTGATATCCGCATACGATGGTGGCATTACGCCATGCTCAACGGATGTCACAGTACATGTAAAGGTAAGTCAATTGTAAATTCTACATATAGTCGTTCATTTTCTCCCTTTGTGGTTTTGGACCGACAGGACATGCAATCCCGGTAAAGCCATGTCGTTTTTCTGTGAAGGCACAACAAGCGACAGATTAGAATCTCTTTGAGCGTGGTAGGAAATTCAGGACTCCATCGTCCTCGTTCACATCGTTCGAACTGCCTTCCAACACCATTCGAAGGGAAAATTCAATCGAAATTGAGCCGATGTAATTTGAACTTGAATGGGATCATCCATCGAACACGAATGGGAGCTGGCAACCGATGGAGTAAACTCTATCAATGGCCGATGCGTTGGAATGGTGACTGGTTGGACGTTCGGATACGATTGAGAATTTGCATAAAACAATGATTCTTACACAGACGGAGAACTTGTGCGAGGAAAAATTCATCCAATTTTTATACTTCGAACGAGTTGAGCTAGTGTGATATGTTTCGAAATCACAGTGGAATATCATTCCGAATTAATTGGTCACGGTGAAAAGATTAAAAAAAGAAACTTCTACCAAAACCAAAATTCAAAACCAACATCACGGCAATGTCAGAACCACTCTTCAAAAGCAATAACGGAGATTAAAATTATACATGAAAAGCTAGATCAAACGCCCACTATTCCTGCACATTGGTGTAGCTTTTCTGAAACAGGGCCTGCTAGCGCGTTCGAAAAGGCGTAACCCAGAGGAGCGGATAAAAATGTAATAAAACCATGCCTATATTGGATTATTTTTCATCCGTTCGGCGATTTAGTTTTCCTCCCGTTTATGGCCTTTGCCGTTGGAAGCTGTACAGGAACTCTCCTCTGCCAGCAATCGGATTTTACCCACTAGGGAGGGAGTCTTTTTTTTTTATTTGCGCAGCCTCGTACCTACCGGGTTTAGTTCTGTGTAGTACCACTATTGCCCGGAACAGTGTAGGTACAAAGCTATCTCCTGTACCCTGCGAGCTGTTTCGTATTGCCAATAGTTAGTACTGGTCCGGCGGAATAATGATTGGTTCAGGAATATATGCGTTATTTCAACGAATTTGAAGAATTAAAATAGCTGAACATTTTTTTCAGCATGAGTCGTCATTTATTGCACAGTTTATGATAGGCAATATCGATCAAAAATAAAACCATAATTTTAACTTTAACTAATCATGTTTGTATTACTTCATGGTTGGAGTTGCTGAACGTCAAATATCAGACTTAAAGTGTTCATTTTATACGATAGATGAGTAGATGAAAGTTGATAGTTCCGTTAGAGTACGGCAGTGTGAATTGTATATAGAGAGTAGAAAGCTATCAAAGGTCAATTTTAAGGAAGGTATGAATCTGGCTGATCATCTCCTTTACCAAGCTCCCCTGGGGAGGGATATCTCCTCCGTATCAGCCTTTGCTCGTTTTCTACTCTCTATGTACAATTTTCAAACTGCCGTACTCTAACGGAACTATCAACTATATACTTTCATCTCCTCATCTATCGTATGCGATTTGGCTGAATACCCTTTGGCTGAGTTCTGATTATTTAAAAAAAAACTTCTCATGTGCAGATTCAAAAAAACTGCAATCAAATCCCATATTTATAAATTTTTCATTAAAGCTTCAAATCGGGATCACACATTATCAAATTTCATGGCAAGTTACATAACTGGTTCTTAAAATATAGGAAACAGTAAAACTTCAAAGAAGGAATAATATGCTAAATTTATAAAATCTTATTTTTTCTTCATAATTTTGAAACTTCAAATCTCATTAAATTCAAAATTATGCGAATACGTCAAAAACAACGAGAATAGTAAAAATTGATATAACTGCTCATGAGTATAAAAGTTAAGTTAAGTTTTCTTTTTTATCGAGGCTTTCAGCCTGAGGCTGGTTCGCCTCCGAGATCATAATTCTAAAAAGAAAACTCCCCTACAAGTATTTACCTTGTTGATTCGACATCTTGTCAATGCCACCAAGAAAGTCTTCGATTCCCACTCCAGCTGATGAACGATACCAAAGCAATGCCATTTTGATAAACCTTTGATTATATCCACCAGAAATCATGGTATGTCATCCTTAAAAATGTAATAGAATAGTTCAACTATTCCAAACACACTTTTTCAGCAGTAACACAATGCACCTTTTTGAAAATTTTACAATCATCACCAAATTACCTATTTGGTCAAATGGCATTCGGCCAAGCGGCACTTGGCCAAAAGGTCGGACACTGCTCTGGCAGTAGACAAGGCTTCCGTCCAGTACTTCTTTAGTAGTTCACGTCGTTCATCGTCGATGGTGGCAGTTTGAGAATTGTTCGTCAGCCATTATTTGATGAATCCCTCTGCTATTTGCATCATGTTGGAAGTTGCACAGGAATCGGAACACCAGTCTTCTTATTTCCCAGTTTCCACGGTCAATGACGACGCACATAAGAGCTCACCTTTTGATTTGAAAGAATGAAATAAATGAAACAAAAAAAAATAAATCTTCAATGCTTCTATTGACTTTTAGCAGCAAAATTTCTTTTTGCACTTGAAGTTGGTACCATTCTTCTTATCAGCACTACTTTTCGTACGTTCTGACTCGAGCTTCAACGCTGGAGTTCTTCCAATACAATTTGACGTTTTGAATAATCTTCCTCCTAACAATATCTGTGCTGAGCTCGATACCGGATGCTTGAAGACCCATAGTCATCGGATTAAAGAACTAGGGCAATCCTTTTAGCAGCAAATTGGCCAACCATTGGTCATTGGCTTGAAATCCAATTTCGCTTAAATCATCCGTCGTCGTCACCAACTTTTTTTTTTTAATTCTTTATTAAAGAGATTTTTAGCCTTAGGCTAGTTCATCTCTAAATCGTCACCAACTGGTACAATCTGATTGACGTCAATTTGTCCAGGAAACCAGATTGCAAGATCAGCCCGTTATCCTGAAATGCTCGCTGTAACTTATTCCACGTTTCTTCGGCTGTTTTAATGATCTTGACAAGGTTGAAATTTTGCTTCTATCCGCTCAAACAAATAGTCGCCAATGCTCAGTCAATAATGTCCAGATCAACCTACATAATCTCCACTGACGAGACCAAATGTCATGTACCTTCACTTATTAGGAAAACCTTAATCGCAAATGCACACGACGCATAGTTCCACACACTACCTCCAATGGAAGTTGCGCCTTCGACCTCGCTGGTCTCCCTCGTACTTCCACAAGTGCTACTGCCTCTGTGAGAACTTGGATTATCCCTCGGGATCATTTCAGGAACTTGAGCGACCTATTCGATTTGAACAATTTGGTCAGATCTGGCCCATAACCAATGAATTAAATGGCATGGATGATTCTTGCAACAGATATTGCTAGTAAAACTGGCTTGTAAAAGTCGACAGTGGTTTATTTTGTATGCAGAATAAGAATTTATTTCGATGCAATGTTAGTACACATAGGCAAGCAAGAAAAGGCGTAAAGGTTGAACACGAAAAAATCCGGACACGAAAATCTTGTTGGGGTATAAAACTGCGTTTTATTTTTCATAGTTCAATGTAACTGCTATACATTAGTTGGTATTATGCCTATTGTAATACCATTGTTTCAGTCTTCCTTCTTACCACACACCATTGCTAAACTTTTCTTCGTGCAAGGCCCATCTTTTGCACGAGCCCTGTTCCCACTTGCTTGGATGCCAAATTCCATTTCCACTTGAATTCCTTCAGGTCAATTGCAGTTTCACAATTTTTCTTCAGTATGTGATTCACAATTGACCAGTATTCCTCAATTGGCCTTAGTTCCATAGTATTGGCCGGGTTCATCTCCTTCGGAACCACTGTGACATCATTTTTGCTGTACCACTGTTTGGTAGAATTTGAGTAGTGGCAGCTTGCCAAGTCCGTTTCAGAACGTCACACACCGTGGATTTCGACAAATTCAAAAATTTTGCTAACTCTCGAGTGGATAGACGAGGATTTTCGTTTCGAGCGTGCAACATCCAATCGCGACGTGCTTCTTCTTCTCTTCTTCATTCCTTTATTTAACGTCGGTCTCTGTTCCGCAATCTAGTGCCAATCACCGACGGACATCGATTGCTATCCATTGACGGCAATCGAATGTGCAGGAAGGCAGCTTCCACATCTGCGTAGGATACCGCACCCATACACAACACACATGGGCCGGGACCAACGGCTTTACTTCCCTTCCGAAGGAAGACGTAACCAGAGATGACCGCCAGACCTCGGCTGGGATTGAACCCATACCCATTGGGGTGAGGAAGCAGTCACGCTTACCACTATACCACCGGCGCCGTTTACGTGCTTGCTCCGGTGAAGCCATGATGTAAACAAATGAACTTATCCTGACAACCAATGCCTACTGTGATTCTATACACTCTCAGGTTGATTCAATGATGTTTTGAAAAAAAAACTTTAACTGACAGTCATATGGGGTTGTACGCAATGGTCACGTAGAACTACGTGGTCTTATATAAAAAAAATCTTCTTTGTTAACTGCGGGAATTTAAGCGGGGCTCTCTCAGTTCATATTCTTTAGTATGACTATGATTACCCCCTTTGATATGAATTTTAGTTGGGACATGTTCAGAAATTTAACTCTTTTGGAAAATCTTGGTGACCGTAAAAAGTAGTACACGCTTAAAGCCTTTGGAAGACGAAGATGACGTGTAGGCAGCTGGGTCAAAAAATCGGACCGGAAAATCCCACAGGGGTTGGACAGGGGTTGAACTGGTGTTTGCGACAAGTTGGAAGGCTGCAGAATATCAGTGTCCACCCATCTAAAGCTTCTCCCCTTTTTAGTTTTTCTCGTTAAACTCCTTCTCTCAACAAGTTGGTGTATCTTAACCTTGTAACAATCTCCTATTTGGTTGGTGAATTGTCGAACACTTCTTCGAAGTATAGTAGCAATTAAAGTCAAAATAGCAGTGTTAATGTCGGTGACGGTACCACGATAGAGAGAAGTGGTTCCCGCTCAATACTCTTTGCAGGCCGGCTAGCCCCTCACAGCAATTAAGGTGCGCTAGCTACCGATGGCCAGGAATGAAACGAAAATGACTTCATTCGCAAGAAACTCAATCAGGTACGAAGTGGTCGCGCAAGATGGTCTTGCCACTCAATGGTATAATGTGCATGTCATTAGTGCTTAATTCTACTCTACATACTTACGCTAGTCTTCTTTGCACCACGTGTCGTTGGGGGCCCCGTACTACTGCTGCAACTGCATCACGGCTACCGTAGTCACTCGTTCCCTGCCGGCTGTCGCGCGACCCTCAACACCGTTGTGGGTGTCGCACTACTGCACGTGACGTCCCGTAGGCGAGCTTTTTTGCCCCGCCAGATGTCGCACGACAACGTCGTGTCCCTACTTCACTGTCGACTCCGACTTCACTGTCGACTCCGACTTCACTGTCGACTCCGACTTCACTGTCGACTCCGACTTCACTGTCGCACAACCGCTCGGTCGACTACTGCTGCAATGCACTATTGACGATGCACCGCGATCACCAACAATACGTGGTAGCTTATCGCTATCCTCGGTTCTTCTACCCTGCTTGTCTCGGCCCCCGTTGCGTCACGACGGCTCCTCGGATACTTTGGCTAGGGAGAAGTGCTCTTCTGATGACGGCAAGGACGTAGGTGGTTCTGCGTGGTTGGCTGGATTCTACCGGAGGAGTCCGGGTACGATGGCCAGCGTACAAACCAGCTACAATAAAAAGGCCCTCTAACGAAGCGACACAGCGTTAATCGATCCATCACGTCATCAGATGTTGTTGGTGATAGACTTTACCTGATCAAGGCCTTTTCCGATTTTCGTTTTACTCTCCTCCGTCCCACTTGATCGGACCTTGCAGATTATCTACACTGATGACGATGCCTTGACCTCCTGTCGTTCGATTGTGAGTAAAAAGGTATTTGAAACGACCCGAACGGAATACTCTTCTAACTCCAGAGATGATGGCCTCAAGTGATGGCATTGCGCATGTTAGCATTTAAATGGGTTTGCAATCTGGAATGCGTCATACCTTGCCGGAAAGTCATTCCCGTTGATGTGTCCGTCCCTGGCCAAGCACTTTTACTGGTTTGGTATTTCGGTGGACCACAACATGCACTTTTTGGCAATCACCCAATTTTGTGGCACTACTTGGTGAAGCCAACCACACTCTAGCTGCTCTTTTAGCACAATGCCGACCTATTGTCCCTTACGGATATTGTTCTTTGGTGCAGATGTGCGAGAGGGAGATCGATTTATTCTTTCATAATCGATAACGATTCTATTGATAACGCCGTGAGAGGTCTGGACGTATAACGGATGGTGTATTGTAGAATTGGTAGCGATTTACGGGATACACAGGAAGAAATTTGCTGGCGCATTTTGTCGGCATTATCTCGAAAATTGTAACAACCTTCAGCAGAAAAACGCTTAAAACTTTTTTCGGCGAATTTTTGATCCTGTTTCATGTCACGGTTCATCTCTATGCCTGTTCAGATAAAATATTACTTTTATTAATTTTCTATACTGCGCTAAATCAAACGAGTAGAAAAAAGAAGGGATGTCACTTACGCGCTCAAATAATTGAAAATTCTATAATTATTTAATCAAATAGCTGGAAAAATCTTTGCTATTAATCGATAATCGAATATTTGTAAATTAAGCATCGCTAGAAAATAGTGTAATTTCATGTTTTTTGGTGGTTCTTCGAAGATGTCGAACAGCAGAATTGCAACAAACAAGTATAACCCAAGAACCAAAAGTGGTACGATGCTAGTTTTCATTGCTATGACGACGACTTAGCAGCGGGGTGACAGACAATTATCTTCATCGATTTCCTCTTTTGATGACCATGGCTTCACTAACCTATTACGCACTATTTCTGTTACGCTTTTCTATCATCCAGAAAAACAAACGTGTCAATGAATGTGTTTTCCGTCGAGTTATTAACGAAACAGCAAGTCGATGAAGAGAATCGATCAAATCACTTGCCCCCTTGCTTCCAAGTTTGGTTACAAGATTACAACTCTAGAGAGCATTTTGTGTGGTTCCTGAGGGCGTGTGGTTCTGAATATGGCGATGAATGTGCAAAATGTTACGCAATTGCATCCTCCATGAAGATCGGAGGCGAATGCCACTTCGACTTGTTTCGTCTACTAACGACTCTCTGATGTCTGTGGTGGGGAAGCAGCAATGCTACATCGAGGTGTAGGTAATTGGTGGATTTGTTAGTTATTTCGACGCTTTGGACAATGCTTGAGATTTACAACTCTTTAAATAGTTTCTTGTTGAAAATCAACAGTCAGAAGAATTGTTATCGATGTGTGGAAGTATTTCTGAACAATTGGTGATAAAATTAATGAAATTGGTCCAGGGGCAGCTCAGTTCTTAACGTTCCAAATCTTTCATAATTTCGTTACATGTTGTATTTTCGGTTTTCACAAAGTTTACCCCCATATATAAATCACAGACGTAGTCCTTCGTCAAAAATACTCTGAACATGCCTTAATGGCAGCGTTTTTAATGTATCCGGATTTTTTCGTGTTCAACCTTTAAAACCGATAAAAATTTAAATAAGGCGTTAATAACTTTAAGTTTACATTCAAAAAAACCTAAGAACGTAACAGATGCGCTAAAATAAATTCTCACCGACAAAAGACCAAAGCCGAAATACGGCTCTGGGCACAGTTCAAATAAGGATGGATGAACCTGAATATTCTCTGGAAATTTTGCGGAATCGCAAATTATTTTTTTCTAACATTGCCATCTCTTAATTTTAGGAACGACGAAATGTATTTTTTTTTTTTCAATTTTCCATGGTTCAATCAATGATTCTGCTACGAGTCTGCTAACAAAATCTGATTCACAATCTCTCATGCATCCTTTCTTCCTCTTTCCATTCACTTTCTACCACTACCCCGCACAGGTGATTGACAAATCGATGCCGGTGTTCAGCAAGCAGTTCTACTCGGACACGGTGGCGGAAAACATCGAACTACATTCACCGCTCTCGGTAGCAATTCAGGCGGAAAGTCCGCTGGGTCGGAAGCTGATCTACAGCATCGTGAAGGGTAACGAGATGGAGGAGTTTGCCGTTGATTTCAACACAGGTACGCGCTTTGCTTCATACATAATACTAATACCACCATTGCCCATAGTCAAAGGCTTACACCATCATCGCTCTCCAGCCAGGAAGCCTACGATGGCACAGACACGCGATGGTGGCAAGGCTAGGAACCTAGTAGGATCATCAATTGGCCACCTTCGTGTTCCCTCTTCGTTTGCCTCTCCTACGCGTAATAGAGCTGCCTTTTTTAATTTTTCAGATCGTTAGATTTGATTTCCCTCGTAGGGATTTTTCGCATCCAATCCAGTTGGTGTGATTAAATATTAAACGCTTTATTGATGGACTAGCGAATATCTTTAAACATATTGAATTTCACATGAATAGTTTCGTTCACTAACCTCAAAAGGGTGAAGGGCAAAGCTTTGACACCACATTAATTACCCATCAAATCTGGTCTGGTAATTCGAAACCAACTCATCAACAAACCTGAAAACACCAAACTCCACCACACCAGCAAATACAACCAGTAACAATGTTGACTATGTCGGGGTTGTCGGTTGATTGGGTTTGACTCGGGTGGGGTGCATCCCACCGAGTATTGGCATTTACTCATCAGCTGAATTAGTCTTGTTTGATTTCCAGTCGGACCCCTTGTCCTCCTGCCACAAACTGTCTGACGATAATCCGTTCCACTTTGCCTCTATGTGTTTGACCATTTGCCATTCGACGAGAAATTGTTGCAACCCAACAGGGTTGTGCAAATATTCAACCACCAAAGCAGAAGATGGAAAGAAAACAGTCAAGGATTCCATTATCCAGCATTTATTTTGCTTAGCAAATCGAAACTTTGTTGTGAGATAATGGGGAGAATGGAAAGAGAAAAAAAAACAACGAATGTGTCACATTAGATTTGCTACTGAGTACAGAGGGGGATTATTGCATACGATTGGGAAAGCGAGAGGAAGTGAATTAGTGTAATGTGTTCCAGAAATAACAAAATGCTCACAAAGTATAAAGCGTCTCCATTGAAGGCTCATCGACATGACGGTATGCGAACTTTATTACAATTGGTGATGTAGGTACTTGATGATAAAGATATTCATCAAAGCACATTGAATCGGTTTGGGACCATAGCCGAATGATTCATTAGCCCAAATATAAAAAAAATAGGATTTGGATTTATTGTTTGAAACAGTTGAATACATTTTGGGACATTTTAGAATTGTAGGACTTTCAAAATTCTGTGACTTAATTTTTTTTCTAAGATTTCATAGGAGAATACGGAATAAGACCACCCCAAGCTTAAAATACAATTAAGCCAATCCTATAGAAGACTGCAGCAATAGATTAGGTCAATATTAATATTTATAGTATTTGCCATTATTAAATTGATTGTCTTGAAACATCCCTTTCATTTGTCATATCTCCTGTTCTTGATCCCAACGTAGGAAATGTTCCCTATTCAATTGAGGAACTGAAGCGCTGATGGAATTTTCTTCTCCATGTCCATACAAACACCTCGCACACCTGTGTGCATGTCGAGGTCCAGCTCAGCAGAAAACTTATCTCGAATGACATGCTTAACCTTTCCGTATTTCACGATTTGAGACCTCGGGTGGTTTCTATCATCATTAATGAAAATTTAAATAACTTTTTGGATACTCAACCAAAAATTGTGTGATAAGCAATGCACAGTGGTCCAGAATGATAATTTGCAGGAATAGTAGTCCTAGAGTTTTTACTGTAATATTAAGACGTTTGGTGTCGTAGGTGAATTATTTGTGCTTCGAAAATTCCTTCTTTTGGTGGTTGTAAACATTAGAGTGGTCTAAAATAGTAGATATTTAAAATTTAACTTTATTATTTTTGAAAATAAAGGCACACGTTGTTGAGTAAAGTTGTATTTGAGTTAATTTCAAGCATTTTTGTTAAAGAATCATTTTGTCTGTCTCTTAACATTCTCATTTAAAGGTAATTTTACGGAATTCAATGAGGATGTACCTGAAACATGTAGTTTTTAAGATCTAAATCATTTGTTTTCAATTTCTCGTATACACCGTTCTGACGTAACTTTTAGGGCTTGTTAAAACACAACTTGCTGCAGAATACTGCGAATTGATATCTCTGAAATATCATGCGATATTAACGACTTCTCATATTAATACGCCATTTTCAAATGTTAGTTACTCAGCACGGGACAAATACACACACAAAATTAACATTTGAAAGCAGAGGCGGGATGTGCTGTCAAATCGACCTACTAAAAATCAATGAGATGGAAATATGTAAGGTTCAGTGAATTTATGATATCTTTAGTTCTCCCGCTGATTAAACGATTGAAGGAGTGTGACGTCAAACTCCGTCATCCATTTAATCAGCCGGAGAACAAAAGAGACGACATATTTACTGGGCCTTACCTGTTTATGCTCATTGATTTTCCATATGTGAATTTGGTTCCAACATTTTGTTTGAAAACTGATAGAAGAACCCGTTACCCACTAAGTTCTACCCACCGCTTTGTTTCGGTGGGTTTTCAACCAAGCACTCTGATATTCTGCGAGTGACTACACGAAACGAAAATCAATTATTTTATTCATGTGTTTCACTTATACATTTTTGCCAAAACATTAGCCTTATACATTCCATAAGACAAACCACATACGTCCTATAAGAATGCATAAAAGGTATGTGTGACCGCTTATACATTTCATTTGACACATGGTCTTCATTAACTTTTTGCAAGGCGTCTGCTCATTAGTTGACTTCTACATTTTATGAATAATCAGCAATAGAAATTTGCCAAAAGATATAAGGAGATTTCTATCCGTGTAGTTCTCCATTGGCACTACTCACACTGTAACAAACCACCGTCCTCTGTTCGAATGAAACCTCAGACCATTCAAATCGAAACATCGAAATCGCATTTTCTAATGATAGCTGCAACCGGATGACGGTTGTTTTGAAATCAGATGATTTTCCTCTCGAATACAGGATGAACATTGTTATGAGAAGGGATAGGGCCTTCAGTTGGAATGCGTAATGTTCTCTGCAGAATGATAGTGATCTTAAATTCAAATGCATTTGGTATTGGTTCAGCCCCTTAACGCAAATCATTCAAAACGATGATGCTTTCTAGACTAACATTTCAAAGGGGCGGAAGAGCCAAAATGTAAACAAACCATATTTTGCCACATATAGAGAGAAAAGTTCACAAACTACTGGATAAACACGAACAATTAGAAGAAAATATCATTCCAAATCATCAAAAACGTTTCCTTTCACATGGCGTATTTCCAATTTTCAACTTTATAATACATTTGGTTGCTACGTCCTGCACCAAAACTTCGAATTACATTGTTTTAATATGCAAAACGTACTGATTCTGTAGTAACTATTCACGCCTGATTTATTTGAAATGCATCCGATTGATATTTCAAAAGTTAACAACGAACAAAAAAGAAGACCAAAAAATCTCCGGGCGTAAATCTTCTCTCACAAAATTTGCGAACGAATAACCAAGGCGGCACAACAAACAAAAAAATCTCGAGGGTGTATTTCCACAGCATATCACCAGTGTTGGCAGTTCAAAGGGTGGAAGATCCAGAAAATGGAAAGTCTTGAAATAGGATTTATTTTTAGGTCTTTAAAATTCGGAAGCGATTTTCTCGATGTGGTGATTTTGGAATTCCGCCCTTTCCAAATGTTAGTCTAGCTTTGAGTAGACAAACGACGTGGAAGCATAACCATTGCTATCAGAAGTGGCCCGAACATTGGTAAAGGGTGGAAACCGTAGATTTTCTATTTCGTGGTGGAGAAAGTTTCCTCTACCAACAAATAATATTTGTATCCATGATTAATGGCTGTTCATGGTTATTAAATATGGAAATGTGAACAATCGAATTAATAATCTAATCAAGGAATCAAAAATATCTCCAAAGGACAAAATGACAAGCGATCAACGAACCGAATAATAACGCTATGTCAGAAGTGCAAAGCAATTCTTCTTCTTTCTTTTTCATGACAAGCAGCCCGTGCGACACAACTCACTCGGGTGGTAGAAGGAAACGAGCAAATTGTTGGCAGGCTGCTTCACGAAGTAAAGCCGAAGATGATACACGTGTGTTTATGGGATTTTTTTTGTTATGTCTTTTCTCGATTCATATCAAGCTATTTCCTCATCCGTGTATATTGCAACAAAGCAGGCAAGCAATATATCATTATCCTTCTACCACTCGGATCGAGCTATGTTACAGAGCGAGTTTGTCATGGTAGTCGTAGCAACCGTTTTGTCTGTATCGTTGGTTGCTTTATGTGTTTGGATTCGCTGAATCTAATCTAAAACATTTGCAAGTCATCCTAAAGGGCGAACACGAAATTATTGCAACACCGAAAATGTCATGCCAATTTTCTTATAATGTTTAGAATCAAACCAAAATTTTAGGGTAGTTTTATACATATATTTACTTCAAAAATCAAAAGAAAAGTTAATCGATGGAGCCTTGAGTGTAAAATTGAACGCATTTTTGCTTGATGCCCTCAATCAAAGTCTTTACAGTGTCATCCGGTACCAGTTTCTCAGTTTTTTTTTCCATTTTCTTAACATGTCCTTCTCGTCTTTGACTGTTTTCTTGCTCTTCCGAAGTTCCCGCTTCATTATTGCCCAGTACTGCTCCACCGGGCGCAGCTCCGGACAGTTTGGCGGATTCATGTCCTTTGGAACAAAATGGACAGAATTGGCCTCATACCACTCCAGGAGGCACTCGCCATTTACTATGCCCTTTGTCACGAAAGGCTCACTCCTCAGTCCGCAAGAGCAGATGGCCTGCCAAATGAGATATTTGGAGGCAAACTTCGACATTTTCTTCTTCTTAAATTTGTCGTCCACATCGAACTTGCTCTTGCCGGTGAAAAACTCCAACCCCGGAATTTGCTTAAAATCGGCATTTATATACGTTTCGTCGTCCATCACACAGCAGACATATTTTGTCAGCATCTTCTCGTAGAGCTTCCGTGCCCGAGTTTTAGCCGTCGATTGTTGCCGCT